AGACTTCAGCTAATGCGTTGGCATAGAGCCTGTACTGAAGCTAAAATTCAAACCACAGGACAAAATATACGACCAAAGGGACATAAAAACAAAAAAAACTCACAAGCTCTCTGCATTCTGCCCCTCATTTCCCTCACTCCCTCTCCGCTAACACCTCTGGTCTCAACACCAACTTCCCACCCACCTATATCCTTCCCAATTCCCCATCCGTCCATCAATGAACTTTTCATTTTTGTTGAATAAGGCGCCATGATGCTCCCCCACTGCGTATAGCCTTCGGTCAGACTATCACCAAAACATAGAATTTTGATCGTATTCTTAGAATCCAAGGCATCATCAGAGGGAGTTGCCTGTGTAGGCTGGGGGATCAGTGATGTGTCAGAATTAATGTATGCATCGAATGAGTGTTCCGCCATTGCAATCCAGAGCCTGGCGACGAGAGTGAATGTTTTCAGAAGCGACGATAGATGCTCTCCTTTGGGGGAGACTCTCTCTAGAGGCGAGGAGGGAGCTAGTATCGCGCTAGTACCTCAAGTAATGCCAGACTATATTTCAAAGTTTATGATCCGAAGAAATGAAGAAGGAAAACTGGTATTCATGTATGAGTTGAGGAAGACAACGTTGGAGCCTGGCGGCTAAGAAAAGGAAAATAGTGGGGCTAAGACTTCAGCGCTGTACGCCCCAACACGATTTGTACTACCCAGGGACTACACGGTAATCCACTCAGCCACATCATATCATATTTTATTATCAGTACAGGCTCAAATGCCGCCATTTATTCCAAAAATACCTGGTTACTCTCTTTATCAAGAAGAGCCCCTGCAGCAGATTTTCATGTTACCCAAGGATTTTCTATACCCCTTTCTAACTTAAAGACCTTACAACTTTTACTTACAGCCTCCACATCAAAATTGCGCAGTATTTAAGGTCGCCTCAGCGAATTCTCTGGCTTCTTAAAGGTTATAAGTTGGCATAAATTTCACATGTATACTTCTACTTTCTCTAAGCTTCACTTTATGAGGATGTTCACAATGCTTCGCTCTCGCTCTCTCGGAGATCTTCATATCGCCTCTTCCTTAAGCTCCTGATTATCCCTTTCTCTTACCCTTATACATAACTTGTAACTTTATCCGTATCAACTACTCTCTTGTAGATAGACCTGAAATTCACAAGAGCTATCTAATATAGTATTTGTAACATCGGCTCTGTGTATCAGTGACCATAATAGACCGAACCAACCTTTTGGGAAAACGACAAGAGGTTATAAACCACGCAGCAGGAAGATCATAGACTTTAGATATCGTAATAGGACTTTTAGTACTATTAGAGTGTTCGAAGAAAGGGAATGGTATTCGGATCTACACCGTATTATTTAGAAAGGACTTGACAAATTCACGGAAGTATGAAGCGTAGTACGAAACAAATAGTAAGCGCTGTGTAAACGTTAAAACCGCTTACTAAGCTTTACGATAGAATACCGGACGAATCAAGGTCACATTACTTAAGGCAACGGAATCATTGAAGCACTTCGCATAGCCTCACCATTCGATGTAATATATACTGCATGGACCTATGATATCTACATCCCTTCTTTCTCCCCTGCACCTGCCATAATTTACAACTCATTAGGCTTATTCATAAAACCCACAGGGAGGTCAATGGTCAATCTAGTCATCAAACACCATTCGCTATGCATCTCTCACTTCTCATCTCTCACCTTGCAATTCCCTGTTCCCATACCACGATACTCCCCAGTTTCCCATCTCTTTAGACTTTTTTTTCTTTTCAATTTTTTATTTTTATTTTTACAAAAGGCTTATCTAAAAATACTGCCTTTCCTTCATCTCAAATCCCATATTCAATACAACCGCAATAAACAATGCAGAGCAAAGTATCGTCGGTCCGAAATTATCGTGATATTTAATGACTTTTCTTGTTCTAATCGCATTGCTTCGATAGAGGTAGATTGCTACGGAGTAGAAAAGAGACATAACAGCTACTACTGAGAAGGATCCGGCAGCTAAGAATGATATCCGCGTTGGCTTGGCGCCAAAGTTGAGAAGTGTTGCTGCTATCGTACTGAGGTAGATCGAGAATTCAAGCTAAGTATTATTAGTGATGAATCTAACAACGAGGATAAGTATACATACCCATGATAAGAAAGTCCGTTCGGCAGCAAAATAAACCTTTGGCTCAACTCTGACTGGTACGTGAATCTTCTTTCCCTTCGGTGCCTTAAATCTCTTCGATTCAATCCTGGTGGATCCCAATTGGGTTTGCTGTCCATTTATTGGGACGGGTGTTGACCTTGGGGTGGGACTAATAGCATGTAAAGCAGTGCCGACCTTCTGTCCAGCCAGTTTTGCATACTTCCTTAAGACCGTAGAGTAGTAATGCCATCCTCCAATACGGCGGGCTTCCTCAAGTCCTTCTACTTCATCTTCTTCAAGATCCGAGTCATAAAGAGGATATTCGTCATCTAGGTTAGGTAGTGCTCCGAGTTGCTCTTCAATATCTAAGGCGTTGCCAGTTGCTCGTTGTTGAAGGTCATGATCTCCAAGCCTGTCACGGGTTTCGCGCAGACGGTTCGCACTCTCTTCAGACCCGTTTAGAACTTCAGTGGCTGGTGATGAATCGCCGTATTCATCGTCAGAATCTTCGTCTTCGTCATCATCACTGGTAGAATCCTGAGCTGAGTGGCCTGGGCGTTGAATGCCAAAATTCTGTGTGGCAGGTTTGCGAATGTCCACGTCCATTTGCGGCATCCAGAAAGGTAATAAATGTATGCGAGTAGGGAAGAGTGTAGCAGTGCCATGAATGAATTTCGAAAACTTTGGTACTGCTTCAACAAGATGACTTGCAATGAGCTCACGAACCCAAGATGGCGGCTCTTGACCTGCTTGTGTCTGCAGCTTGACCTCGAGAATAGCATATGGGAATCTCTCAACGTCTTCGGGAGGCAATTGCGTAAAAGGATAATCGATACCAATATCCATCCTCCGCCAGTTCCTTCCAGCCCTGTCTCGCCCATCTAGATTGTCCTCACGGACCATAGTAAGTTCTGTATCAAGAGAGATACGAACACGAGCATCCGCTGGTAGTTGGAAAGCCGTTCGGTTATAGAAAGACCGACATAGAGGCTTGTAGCCTTTCTTTATGACTGAGTACTGGATTTCTTTTGCCAATCTCTCATCTTCGTCGATGACTTTGGCAGGTTTCTTCCCATCTTTTCGTGCCTTCTCGAAAATAGCCTCAGGCAGTAGGTCACCCTTGAGATATACGTTGACGTTCTTTTCCTTCATGGCAAATCTAGCTTTCACGGACTTCTCGCCAGTCCAGTCCTCGCGATGTGTCTTTCGTTCCACGAATATAGTTTCAGTATCCATTCCACCATACCATCTCAAACGTATAGCTTCGGCACCTTCTGTCTTCTTCAATCTGCCTTCGTACAGGTCGAATTTTTCAGGGTTATCGTAGTAGATGGAAGTAATGGCGGAATCTTTCGGGTCGAACTCTTTGTTGGCATTGAAAACGAGGACTGGAAGATGCTATAAAGAATTAGCACATACATCGCAACCATGTTCTCACTACACACCTTCATAATTATAAGCTTCACCTCTGTGACATTATCTGGGTGGACCCAGTATTTGGTGGTCTGACGAATGAAGCTTCCTTGACTGCCACCAGCAGCACTGTCTCCTTTCACTGGATTACCTCTTGTTCGAACAATATCCCACAGCTTAGAGAGCTTGACAATATCTGCATCGTAGTTGTCTTTGAAGAAGGGCTTGGCCTTTAGTCTTGTTGCAAAGACTGGCTTGAGAATCCATCGTGTTTGTTTCTAGAACTGATTAGCCAAGACAAGAGCCCAGAGACGAGAGAAGCTTACATCATGCTTTTTGATAATCTTTTGGAAGCCCGTATAGTTCAACTGGACGAATTTTGCAAGATCATTAACATCTGCTGTAATTTCATTCAGGTCCTCTTCCAACATCATAAACTCTTCTTCCGTAGGCGCATCATCGTCGTTTGCGGCGCTGCCTTCTCTTCGAGTTGGCCCTCTGCTATCTAGCCTTGAAACAATATCATTAACCTCCCTCTCACAGCTTTGTATCCGCCTTGAGATTTCGATAACCTTCAGTTTCTGTTTCGAGTAGACTTTGTCCAATTCCTGCTCAATTCGTGAGATGAATTTACTTTCATCTTCCTCTGTCCACTCTTGTCTTTTCGGTTTTGGATTCGCCTTCGTGGGAGGTGTAACGTAGTCCTTCTTCATCAAATCCTTCAATTCATCGTAGGCGATATAGTACCATTGGTACTCCTTGATCACACTGGACCTCAGCTGTTCTCCGAACTTCATGACGATAAGGCCCGGAGCGATCCGCTCTCCGGTAGAATAAGATTGGCAGCGTCTTCTGTTTGTTCTGAGGTCTTGAACGATTAGCATTTGATCTGCATTCCTGCGGTGCTGCGCGAAGAATAATCAATTGAGGGGCAGACTGAAGCCGTTGATAGAGCTTGCCTTAGTGTTGTGATAGCTGATGCAGGTCGGAATTCAAATACCTGAACAAAAGGAAGGAACACTTTTATTGCTCGTAGAAGGGCGGATACTGTCTGGTAGTAGGAAGCTGCTGCTCACTCGCACTTGCAGGATTTGATGGTGTTTCCTTGCGAGTGTCACGAGGAGCTCCTGGCAATGGTTGGAGCTGTAACCAAACAACCAGGGTTTGTTTTTCTCGTCTGAAGTCCGCTATAACGCCCCGCTCCCCATTGGCCAATTGAAACATTGCTTCGCCGCACATGGTCTTATCGAGCTCCCAGCCTCGTATTCTCAGATGTACTGAGCCATGGGTTCTGTTGAGTACAGCATACATCATTAATTAACAGGGCCGGCAAAGCTTCGGAAGTCAACTGCCGAATTTTCGCCTTCACGTGGGTTGTGCACTCAATGTATATTTTTAAATAAGCAGTTCCTCAGCAATAATCACACGGTTAACACCGGTCGATTAGCTCAGTTGGTTAGAGCGTGGTGCTAATAACTTCTCATTTGAGAAATGATAACGCCAAGGCCATGGGTTCGACCCCCATATTGACCATTCAGAAATGAATGATTCAGTCAGTCCATTAGTGAAGTAAACATTCTTCACACACTTGGTTCAACTTTTTATCCTTTTTTGATTGGCACTTTTAAGGGGTTGGCACTTTTAAGGCAAGAATGGTTGATCGGTGCAAGCGAAGACATTGTAACTTTTCTACCAACACCCTAAATCGTTCTACAACCTCGACATTTTTCTTTTCCTTCCTCCTTTTCCTTCCTGTGACCCCACAACCTTTGTCAACGGTTGCTCAGGAAGACTACCATTCATTGTTTCTAGAATCTCTTAGATCTTTTGCCATTGGTTGCATCCTTTATATTATGCCCTTGTAATAGCCTACTTCAGCGCTGCAGCCTGGGAAATGTGGCGCATGACAGCCTCGTTTTGTTCTCATCATTTCTGCTCATTCTGCTTTTGATCATGTGCTGGTTTTGACTTCAATGTTCAACTTGCAATTCCATCCACTATCTTGATATTATATTTCGTAGTTTATCTTGAGCGTGCCTGAGGAGGTCGAAGTATGGCATCTCAAACTTGTGCAGTTATAGCCTCAGATGACTCCCTGGGCACAAACCCCAACGAAGTGGAAGATTCAAATGTTCCCCTCAAGCAAGAGTCAAACGATTCAAAAGAATTACTAGCCAAACAGGCATTTGCCAACATGTACACATCAGAGCAACAACAGCAACTCTTCCAGCAGAAACTCGAGGAGCAACGGTTCCGCACCCAACTAATGCGAGAAGAGTTTGAAGCGGAACAGATTCGACTTGACGAACTCCACAAACTTAAACTAGCAAATGAACGCCGTCTCGCAGAAGAAAAGATTTTTGAGCTAAAGGATGCCCGTCTAAAGGAAGAAAAACGGCTGGATGAATTGCATCAAACACAGCTCCACAACGAACGCAATCGAGGCCAACAAGCGCTATACAATCTTCAAGCCGCTGACAGGAGAGTTGTTACACACGAGAATGAGTTGCACATGCTTAAGAAAGACGCGACTAAAATGAACTTAGACTATGATTCCAATCCGATGGCAAGTACCTCTACTTCCAATGCGGGTGTTAATAGGTCAGGGGATGACTCTGATTCGGGGACTTGGGGAACTATCAAAAACAAGAAGAAAAACACTCTCTCTCCAGCCATTAAATCCCTCACCGAAACCCCTAATCCTCTAAAAACCCCGGCCTCTGATGTAGGTTCCATCATTTACCCCTGCAACTCTAAACCACGACTAAAGCTTCCATAGCCATCTCCATTATGCATTCCCGGCTGGTGGAGGTGCAATACTTGTAACACGCATTTTGATCCCCAGAAAGAGATGTCTAAAAGGTTTTGTCCGAATTGCGGCTTCAGGAAAGGGGTAGCAAATTCGTATACTGTACTCTAAGCTCAAAATGAACTGGCAGCAGCAAATGTTGGTCTTCTCTCAATGATCTCAAGTTTTTGTCAGAAGGCCATGCAAATAGCATGTTACAGGATTCTATGGCATTCAATAAACTCAACACGTTTACTAATTAGTGCCTCTAGATTTTATGTGTAAATTGCCACATAGAGTTTAGCACTACACAAGTGCTGAAGACAAAAAGTTCTGTTATTTTGATCTTGAATCATGCAACTGCTCTGAAGCGATCACTCTAGATAGTCGTTTTCGTAAAATCTTCTTCAGGATTCGCAGAAGCCTCATACTCATTTGTGCCATTCGACAATATCAGAAGCACTTCGGCTACTCCAAGGGGCAAGATTCGACGGATCTCTATTCCTATTACCAAAGATCAATCATTCTAGTTACTGCTTCTTACACTCTAATTGGCTTCACTATCCTCTCCTCCTCTTTCGCACCAACACGAGCTGATACTTGCAGGCAATCCACGTGGGATGCAATAAAAGTTTTGGCACCACGGCAAGTTCGGAACAAAACTACTAATCAGCGTCTTTGAAACCAAAGTTTAGTCTTTGGAATGGTTTCGATAGTCGTATAACCCCCCACCTGGGCTCATGCGGTGTAAGGGACGACCCGAGTTATCTGCATGCCCGCTCAACAACGGTACTTGGCCGGGGAAGCACGTTTTCTGCATACCCGGTAAGCTTTCCTTATCCGGTTTTACGACAACCTTCAAGTTACATTGGGGGCGAAAACTTTCAACAGGCTTACAAGGGGTGCACTTGCGAAACAACCCAACAGCTTTCAAATTGACCCGGTATACTCTTTCCAACTAGTCGCCGAGTGGTCCGAATCATAAACGCAGTTGAAAATAATATCTGTGAAAGGCGGTTTCACAGGTTCGACTTTTTGGCTTTCGTAGTTGTCGATTTCCTTCACATCATGTTGAAATAAGCAATGATAAGCAGGTTTCGAGGCTATCACCGTTGGTCAATGCTTACAAGGGTTTTCTTTCGTAAGACCAGATCAAGTAAAGCGACTGATCGTGGCTTTCCAAGCCATACTTCTGGATGATGAAGGTATCATCGAAAACGTGGAGTCAGAAGTCAGCCGTTCTTTCACATTGCTGATTGGTTAAAGCATCTGAAAAGAACTGCCTCAGAGCTGGGACCGAATCACTATATTATGTGACCCAGAGGCACGGATTCTGGGATAACTCCCAAGACTGTGTGATTAACTGCTGCAAAAATAACCTCATGCAGGCCTTCCATGCTCTGTTTCTTCCCCGGGACCCCTTCTTGGAGTTAAGGCACATTCGGCAGCAACCGATCACAAAGATCCCAATCGTAACGTGGGCGCAACCTGCAAGATGCAAGGTAGGCTTCAGTGCACGAAGTGTGGGCTGGATTCTGATATCAGCAACAATAATTCTCCAGGATCATACCCGACATGAGGGCACAAACAGCGAATCAACACTCATATAATTCTTTCGAGGTACCAATGACCTCGTAGGCAAGGACAAGTCCCAAGGTCACTTCAACTGAGCTCTGCTCACCCTCAAGGATGCTCCTTCCTCAGAAGCCGCTGACTGGTGAGTTTCACGACCCGCTTCAAGCTCGCCAAAGCTAGATGTACAATTTCTCATTTGGATCATATACCTCCCTTAAAAGGTCAACCAGTGTTACATGTGGCTTTTGAATGACAAGGAATTGATAAGACGTTTATTCGATATTTCGATCAAAGTGCAAAAGGTAACCAAATAACTGGAAGTGGTCGGTCTTTCCTACCCCTACCCTTTCTAGATATCCTCCAGATTGATGTAGTTATTGGGTATAAGAAGCCTCACCCTTCCTCTTCCCTCTCTCTCCTCTCACATTCATTTCATCAGACTTCAATCTACAAAGATGTTGCTCCCAATTCTAGCCACAGCTTTTACCTTTTTCCAAGGTCTAAATGGCCAGGCAGTGGATATAAATGGCATTACTCTATACGAGAAGCTCGAGGAGATGGAAAGGCAGATGCTAAATCCGTTTACTCTTGTCAGCGTCGTCTCTCCTTGCAGTGTCAATTTCAACGATGATCCCAATAGAGGCCAACAAACATCGGCAGAATGGGTCAGAATTGTATTCCACGATATGATCACTAAGAATATCGCAGGACCAGGACTTGGGTCAGTTTTTCCCCTTCCCATTGTCAGGTTCAAACTGATGAAAGTAGTGGCCTTGATGCCTCTATTGGTTTCGAATCCGACAGACCGGAAAACATTGGCATTTTCGTAAATGTCACACTTGGGCAATTCTCACAATTCTCTAGTCCGTTTTTGTCTATGTCAGATCTCATTGGCGTCGTGAGTAAATTCGCTTCAAGGGAAAGTATTATTTTGACGAGAAATACAGGGGCTGTCTGATAGTTTGGCAACTTGTATTCAACCAGATGCTCCTCGCATACCACTACGTGTTGGCCGAATGGATGCTACTGGACCAGGACCTGCAGGTGTCCCAGGTCCTCTTGACAGTCTTGATTTTGCAAAGGCTGCCTTTGCTAAAGCGGGTTTCAGTCAAGGCGAAATGATTCAAGCCATGTGGGATCTTCAGAATCTACAATTTGAAATACGGAGCTAATTATGTTTCAGTGCATGTGGACACTCTCTTGGTGGGGTTCACCATACAAATTTCCCAGACATTGGTAAGTCAACTTTCCTTTGAACTTCAAATCTTTCTGAATAACAGAAACTAATGGATTTTGCAGTTGATGGATCTCAGGCAACCTTTGGGTAAGAAATACCGTATCAAGGAGGAAAATTTTACTAACAAAATAGATCCGATCAGCGAGCTTCATTCGACAGCACTCCAGCAGCCTTTGACAATACCCAGGTCCAAGAATACCTGACACAAACTGGCCTGAAAGGAGGACCCCTAGTAACCGGACCAGTCGCATCACGCTCTGACTTTCGCATTTTCAATTCAGATGGAAATGCTACCATTACTGCAATGTCCTCACCTCAATCTTTCAGGGATACTTGCTTTGCAATCTTCACTAAGATGATCAACACAGTTCCTGCAGGTACAGTCCTCTCAGACCCTATCGTTCCTCGCCCATGGCTTCTGCGAGAAAGCCACTTGGATCTTAATTCAGCTGGAAGCGTCACATTCTCAGGAGTCATCATTGGCCATGGAAGCACCCCCCTTCCTACAAATGCTTCATACTTTTATGGCACAGTTGGCGGCGGCAACACTGGTCCAAAACAGAGCCAGGGAGATATAAGTAAGCTTTCAAACTGCACTGAAACACGTGGAATCGTTCTAATCATCTCTTCAGCACAATATCCCATCTTCCTCGGCACTATAATTGGTTTTGGTCAAATTATCGACTACAAATTCAGCGACGTGCTCAATAGCCCAAACATCAACACAATAAACATCCAGGGCTCATACCAGGCCCCCATCAACCAAAATATCTTCATTCTCCCGAGCCAGAGTTTTACAATTCCAATTCTTGCTTCCGGACCAGGCTCAGCCACAATAGGACATAAATACGTAGTCCGCGCAGCTGTAAGTCTCCCCACTCTTCCCAATTACCACGCTAAGCTTACACTAACATCCCTTCGCAACAGGTCCTC